ATCGTGTCCGAAGCGTAGACCAGTGATTAAGCAAAACTCCTCCTTCCCAAAACAAGTATACACCGGTGCCGGTGAAAAATGAAACCATATCTCTTCATCACCACGTTGTATCCTCTCGGGTAGATCGTTAGTCATGGTCTGAAGAAACAAATGGACCAACATAGCATCTCCACCTGTATGTTGTACTTTCAGCCATGGTCCGAAGCAAGTATCCTCAAACAATTTTCTTTGTACAGGTGTAAGTGTCATAACAATTGTTTTGGCTAGGCTTAATTTATTCCTTAGAGTCAATGCAGCCGAAAAAAATTCCTAACAAAAACAATAATAACCTACCAAGTTAGATATACCAAAAACATACACTATAAACAGACATGATATTAAATAGTGAAAACAAAGCCAAATATGTTTCAAACTAGCACGGTATTCATTATTCTATCATAGTTCACAAAATACATCAGATAACATTCCAGAAGTAAGCACTTATATAAACATAAAAGGACAACATATAGGTTTAGTGCAGGTGCAAGGACAACATAAAGAGTAGTATTTTATTCTTGAAACTTAAATTTGCAACACTGTGAAGTTAGTATTTGTCTTTGTTTTTTGGTTGAAGTAAGCAATTCATTCAAATTTCAATTTGCAGAAGAAGAGTAGTTTCTGAAAATAAAAATCGCAACGCGAAAATGAAAATCGCAACGCGAAATGAAAATCGCAACGCGAAATGAAAATCGCAACGCAAATTTCATTTTCGCAACGTTGCGATTTTCATTTTCGCATTGCGATTTTCATTTTCATGTTGCGAATTTAAGTTTCAAAAACTATTCTTCTGCAAATTGAAACTTGAATGAATTGCATTACTTCAACCAAAAGACAAAACAAAGGCAAATATTAACTTCACATGGTTAAAGACAAAAACCGAATGAATTTACTAAGCAATCTAAGTGAAATGGTTAATCTATTATTGAAATTACCAGTAAATTTATCATCAATTTAAATATGAAAAATCTAATAATAATAAAAAAATAAAAAATAAAAAATAATTAAAAAAACTAACCCTCGGTGGTTGATTTTCCATTTGTGGCCGTGAATGGTTGTGAGGGTGGCTCTGAGAGATGGAGATAGAGGGGGTCGCCGGATATGTGGACGGATTTCACGGGAGATGGGGGCGGATGTCGCCGTAGAGAGTGAGAGATGGAGATGGGATTGTGTTGTGATTTAGGGTTTTAGGTTATGATTTGCGATTATACTGTTTACATTTGTGTTGCGAAATTAATATTGTGTTTCGAATTCGAAAATAATATTCGCGTTGCGATTTACATATTATCGTTGCGATTTACCTATTCGTGTTGCGAATTTGACTTTCGCGTTGCGAATTTGACTTTCGTGTTGCGATTTACATATTATTGTTGCGATTTACCAATTCACGTTGCGATTTTGGAACCTGTGTTGCGAAATTGGACTTCGCATTGCGATTTTGTTGGTCATTTTCGCAAATCCAAAAAAAGTTGGTTAAAATCGTATATTATAAGACATTTTTGGTCACTGAAGTTATTTTCTCATTTAAAAATGTTGATTTGCAAGTCAAAGTATTTAAAAAGATATTGATCTCTCTTTTAATGAGTACTGAGATTTTAATCTCACTTCGATGAGACAGAAACCTATCGGCGAATAAAAGAAAGACAGAAAGCTTAAAGATCATTAAAAGAAAAAACAAGATCCTTTAGGGTTTTTAGAGATTATAAATTAAGTTTTATTGATGCAAATTAGACTCTAAGTTAAATAACTTGTTTGAATAAAAGACTTACCGAGCAAACATAAGAACATAAAGCACTAATAAATAAAATATCCTAATATACATCCTCAAAATAATAAAAAATTGATATCTTCTAATAGAGTAATAATTAACATAAGCTAAAAATAATTAACGCAACTTTACTCTCATGTGGGAAAAGAGCTTGTCCTAAAAAATACTAATAAATAAAATCTCACAATATTTTTCCTAAAAATAGCAAACAAGCCATGATTCTCTTAACCATTTTTCTCACCGCCCTAAACTTTTTAGCTCCATTTTCTTCTTTGGCTGTAGAAGGCGGCAACAATATTTGTTGAGTTAATCGATTGATGGAATCGGCCAAGAGTGGGTGAATTGGCAATAAAAATTTTAGTGGTAGCTTTTGTAGAAAATTGAAAGTAATTGCACAGCGATTTAGAGTGGTTCGACTTTATCAACTAAAGTCTACGTCCACTACCTTAGCTATCCACAATAAGGATTTTCCAACAAATTCACTAATTTGTTCTTTCTTTTGAGGCCAAAGAGATAACCTTACAACTCCCTCAAGAATATACCCTAATTCTTGAGAACACTCTTTTCTTAAAGAGAAGATTACAAATTTGCAAACTTACAAGAAAAACCTCACAAGGAAAATGTGCTTGCACAATTCTAGAACAAAGAAAGAACACTCAAGAATAAATACAATTGAGCACAATAAGTGTTCTTGAAAGAAAAATGAATATTGAATGAAAAATAGGCTTCAAATGCTCAAACTTGAGGTTTGATGTTTTCTCTTTGAATCTCTCTTGATTATAGTTGCTTGTTGTTTCTTGTTATTGATCAATGGCTTCTAAGCTTGTTTAAATACACCTTGAATCACTTCTGAACGTTGGGGATGATTAGTGGAGTCAATAGAGCCTTTTAAGTGTGAAAACAATTAATTAAAGCAGTTGGGAGCGTCAGTGCATCGATGCATACCCATGGTGCATCGGTGCATCAGTGTAAAATTCAAATATTTTGACCGTTGGACCCTTAATGCATCGGTGCACTAAGAGTGCATCGATGCATCAAGTGCATTCGATGTTTCAAAATAGCCAGAGTGCATCGATGCATGGCTGGTGCATCAAATGCGTTCGATGTTTTCATAAAATCCTTAGTGCATCGGTGCATGGTAAGTGCATCGATGCATGAAATGCATTCGATGTTTAATATAATTCATGGTGCATCGATGCATGGATTGGTGCATCGGTGCATCACTCTGAAAAATTGATTTTAGGCTTGATTTTGGTTCAAAATACTTTGTGAAAATTATTTCAAAAATAAGTATAAAACACAATTTTACACATTTAGTAAGGTTTGAAATTGATCTTAAAAGACTTGGAGTAATAATTTGATATTCGATTAATTGAATCGAATATACTTAAAAAATCATTTGTAAAATCTTAAAATTCATTTAAACTAATTTGTTATATCGAAACACAAAAATGTTTTCAACAATATTAATGGTGGTTATTGCCGTTAGTATTTTTCATCTATTTTCTTATATCATGTCTTTGTTTTATTTTTGTTTCGTTTATTTTTTTTAATAATTTTATCTTTATGACACGTTTTACTATGTTTTTATAGTATGATTTTCTCTATCTATTGGTATGTTTTCGGTCGTTTGGTTGTTGTTTTCGTTTATCTTTTTTTTTATAGTTAGATTGGACATTCTCACGACTGATCATGATGGTAGGGGTGTTCAAAATTCGGTTTTAATCGAATTAACCGACCAAACCGAATTAGTTCGGTTAATTCGGTCGGCCACCGAATTACTTCGGTCGGCGAACAGTTAAGGATTTTTTTGGAATTCAATTAACGGTTAATTCGGTTCGAAATCGGTTAATTAACCAAATTAACCGAATTAACTGAATTAATCTTTAAATATAATTATATTAAGAGACTTAGCTGGCCCACTCCATTTAAAACTCATTTAAAACCCAATCAATATTAATTAATTAAAATAATCTCAAAACTAAATGCAAAATGTTTGAATCAAATTAATTAGATATTATTTAAAGTAATTGTAAATTGTTTTTTAATTAAAAAATATTAAATTCTAAAATTCTAAAAAAATTCGGTTAATTCGAAAATTAACCGAAATTTATTCGGTTCGGTTAATACTTTAAAAAAAGTTCAGTTCGGTTAACGGTTAAAGAAAAAAAAAGTTATGTTAATTCGGTTAAGGGTATTTCGGTTCGGTCGGCCACCGTTTTAACCAAATGAACACCCCTAATGATGTGCTTATTTGTTATCATGCTGATATTTAATGCTTTGAACCCTTGGATTGATTTGGATATGCGATTTGCGTTTATGGATAGTTTTCTCACTTCGTTCGACTTTTATTTACGGTTTATCGGTAGTCTTTCAATAGTTTCATTCTCTTTTGTGGTCTGTTTGTCAAAGCAGTCAGATTTGTTCGTAACTATATTTTGTTTGAGCTTTTTGGTTAGATTTTTTAACATGTTCCTTTTTTAGTCATTGTGTTCTAGATGACTAGTTTTTTCATGTCAATGTTTATAAAAAAAATGTCTTAGTTATATTTTAGTTTACAGTTATGCTTATAAGACTTCATTGTAATTCTTAATATTTCCTATTTTTAATAAAAATAATGCTTTCTATATAAAAAAAATAGCAAACAAGCCTGCTAAAAAGGTCTTCTAATAATATAAATAAAATCTCTTAATATTTTCCCTAAAAGATAATAATAGAACTGATATTTCTAAAACAATAATAATACTTCCTAAAAAGAATCAACGTTACAACATTCTACTGATTTCTTATATTGTAAAGTTCACACTATTCCTTCTCAGTATAACAAAAAGATAGTGTTAAAACAAGTGATTGCAGATTTCTTTATCAAGCTTTCTCAGACCTTGCCTATTGAGTGTGTTTGACAACATACACTCTAGCAGTAGCACAAAATTACTTGCGCACCAAACAATCCCCACAATTAGATAATCACTCTAAATTATACAATAAATTAATAATTGTTATGTTCACACCTAAAAGTAAAAATTAAAATAGAAGAGATCATATTAGTTGCAACTTGCTTCATCAATATACTTTCCATGCCAGAAGAGAACACTGATTTGGGAAGAAAAATGTCTACCTATGTCAATATTCTTACACAAAATTTCTAATTGAACTCCGGCATAATTTAATCAACTAATTAAGTGGATAAACTTACACGAAGCTAGCAGGACATTTTCTTCCCCAAAGCCCTCACTGGGCCCATCAAAGAGATTAACTCGTTTGTTGCTCTCAAGATTGCTTTGATGTCTGCAACACAAAAACAACAATGCCAAACCAGGAGAAATCACATCAACAAGATGAAACAGAACATTTAACAAATGATCAGTGCTTATTGATGTGAACGAAAGTATTGTTTCATGATATCTATGGTAATTTCCTTATATTATCATGTTTCAACCAATAACAACTTTAGTGTACTGCAATAATGTAGCAGGGATATCAAAAGAAAAGCTTGAAGTGAAAAGACAAGAGATTTGGAGGGGATGGGGAAAGTGGTTTGTAACTCTGAAAATAGATATACAATATCCATAAGCATTATAAATTATTTATAGATAGTAAAAACATGATGCCATAAAAGAAAAAATGGACAACTTCAAATGGTGCTATAAACTTACTGCTTCTTACGAGCAACATACGAATTCAACTCCTTGACCTGCATGACAATTCCATAACATAGAAAATTTTGAACACAAGATACTTGGATGACAAGTCAGAGGAGCTAACTAGAAAACCAGAAAAAAAAAATCACCATTGACTGCTTCTTTTCATTCAGCATCCTGTGTGTATTTGCATCAGTTCTACTCTCAATTTTCTTCACTACTCTCTCAAACTCTTTGATGAGCCTGAAAAGGGATGATAAAAACTAGTTTGATTCAAACGGGTGGAGAAACAGTTGTTAGTAAACGTATAACAGCAAGCCAGCAACAGCATGGAAGACCAATTTCTTAGAACCTCGATTCTTAGTGGAGAGATCAAGGCAACAAGGGTGCTATATTTTTAGATTTTTCTCCTCATTAATGTAAATAACTAAAAGCATCATTATTCAGACTCACTCTTAACATATCCTCTAAGCATAATGTAAATGTCTCAAAAATACCTCTTACACTCTCTCATTTTATCGGTAAGCTCTTCCAATTGCCTACTCTGCCTATTAACATCCTTAATCTTCTCCAGTTTCTGGAATCTGTTTCTGCAATGAAAATACAACAATTTTTAAACAATGACAATATACATATTAAAGAAGAAATAATAATCCATATGAAATCTTAATGCCTGAGATCGAATTACGTCCAATAGAGCCTTAACTGATGATACAATCTCATTTGTTTGACAAAAGAACCGTTTCTTTTCTTAACACAGCGAAATAAAAAGAAGAAGCAATGTTCATATCAGTAGAATCTGACTGAAATCTACAATGTCATTGCATAAACAAGTAAAAGCCTCAGAAATTAAATTTTTATGATAAAGCTCGAAGAATATCAGTGATTTGTCCGTCGATCTCCGCTAGTTCTTCGCTGATGGCAGCTAAACGATCCATCTTTCAATCTAGAGACTGAACAGTCTATCTCAAAACAGAAGCTTCGAAATCCGAATCAGATCAAATCAGTAAAACGACGAGTGAGTATTTAGTTCCCGAATCTAAAAGCAAACAACCTCAAATCTTTCCAAAAAAGATCGCGTAGGATCTCAAACGCAGACGAAAACAAAAGGCAAAAGAATTAATTAAAACAAGAGAAAATAACCTCAGTGACCAAAAATGCCTTATAATATACGATTTTAACCAACTTTTTTTGGATTTGCCAAAATGACCAACTAAATCGCAATGCGATCGATAATTCGCAACGCAATCTCCGTTATCGCAAATCAGTTTCCAGATTTGCAACGCGAACTTCGACTATCGCAATGCGAACTTCGACTATCGCAATGCGAACTTGGACTATCGCAATGCGAATATGTAAATCGCAATGCGATAGTCGACTATCGCAATGCGAACTTGGACTATCGCAACGCGAACTTCGACTATCGCAATGCGAATATGTAAATCGCAATGCGATAGTCGACTATCGCAATGCGAATATGTAAATCGCAATGCGATAGTCGAAGTTCGCGTTGTGATAGTCCAAGTTCGCATTGCGATAGTCGAATATCGCATTGCGATTTTCATATTCGCATTGCGATAGTCCAAGTTCGCGTTGCGATTTATTCCAAATTCGTTGCGATAGTCCAATATCGCAACGATTGGTGGTATTGCATTTGTTTCTTAAGAATTTTCTCTAAAAAAATAGTATTCGCGCGGACGTGTCGAAGACACGTATTACTACGACCACGACCACTACCACAACCACGACCACGACCACGACCACGACCCGACCCGACCCGAGACGAGATGGACGGCGGCGGTGGCGGCGCGCGAGAGTCCCCCTTGTTCTCTATCACTCAATAAGAAAGTGGGAAAGCCAAGCCTTAAATACCATTCCCAATAGTGTTTCCAATACTATGTGGGATTGAGCATTACCAACACTTGTTCCCAATACTATGTGGGATTGAGCCTTAAATAGTGATATTATTTTTGAATGTTTTGCTTAAAATTGAAATAATCGCGATTGATTGTAGATTGACTTTTAATTATGACATATTTAATCGTATAATACTAATGCAATTGGTTGCTGATTTAGTTGTTTTAAGGTGCATGATTGTTAATTGTTTCCTGAATAATCACATTGTATTGGAAACAAGTGTTGGTAATGCTCAATCCCACATAGTATTGGAAACAAGTGTTGGTAATGCTCAATCCCACATAGTATTGGAAACACTATTGAGAATGGTATTTAAGGCTTGGCTTTCCCACTTCCTTGTTGAGTGATAGAGAACAAGGGGGACTCTCGCGCGCCACCGCCGCCGTCGTTCGTCTCGGGTCGGGTCGGGTCGTGGTCGTGGTCGTGGTCGTGGTCGTGGTCGTGGTGGTCGTGGTCGTGGTAATACGTGTCTTCGACACGTCCGCGCGAATACTATCTTTTTAGAGAAAATTTTTAAGAAACAAATGCAATACCACCAGTCGTTGCGATTTTGGACTATCGCAACGAATTTGGAATAAATCGCAACGCGAACTTCGACTATCGCATTGCGATTTACATATTCACATTGCGATAGTCGACTATCGCATTGCGATAGTCAAAGTTCGCGTTGCGATAGTCCAAGTTCGCATTGCGATAGTCAACTATCGCATTGCGATTTACATATTCGCATTGCGATAGTCCAAGTTCGCATTGCGATAGTCGAAGTTCGCATTGCGATATTCGAAGTTCGCGCTGCGAATCTGGAAATTGATTTGCGATACCGGAGATCGCGTTGAGAATTATCGATCGCATTGCGATTTTGTTGGTCATTTTGGCAAATCCAAAAAAAGTTGGTTAAAATCGTATATTATAAAGCATTTTTGGTCAATGAGGTTATTTTCTCTTAAAACAATTAACGGCATCTGAACGAAGGTTCTTTAAAAGTTCGACACGACTGCCTCTCGTCTCGATCTAAAATGAATTTGGATAATTTAAAATAAAATAAAATACTTTTAAGGTTTTTTTTTCTTGGATTTCTTTTTCTTTTTCCTGTTTGTACCTTGGATTAGGGGAGTAAACGAGCCGAGTCGAGCTCGAGTATTGTCGAGCTCGACTCGAACTCGAAAACTTTAAATGTAAGCTCGACTCGACTCGAAAACTCACGAGCCTAAAATTTCCAAGCTCGACTCGAACTCGAAAAGGCTCGAACTCAAAAAAAATCAAGAGCTTAACTGAAACTCAAGACTCGAGCTCGATTAAGACTCGATTTTAGCTCGATTTTAAACTCGATTCAAGCTCGAAGACAGATTAATTTTCAATTGTTGAAACCATCCCCCTTTTATACAGTCTCTTTACCCCTTATTCCCCTAAAAACCACCAATGTGGGATATGAACTACTTTCAAAATGGCTCAGCAACAACAATGGTCAAGTTTCTGGAACAATGGCTAACAACTTTTGAAACCCATCCCCCTTTTATATGTAATCATCCCTTTCTTTTATTCAGAGATTGAAATCAATTTCAGACGAAACTAATATCTTCTTGCAAAACAAAAATGGCTAACACAAACTCCATTAATACACATTTCTTCCCATTAATTTCAATTGCCTCTGGATTGGATTATTCTACTTTCTGGAACTCAATAACTATAATACACAATCATAATCTTCTTCTTCCTCTTAATATAACTCGTACGATGTGACGATGCCGTACTTTGTTTCCTCCATAAAGTCGTTGCAAAACCAGAAGGCATGGAGTCAAACATGTGGTCGTCGATGACATCAATGTCGGTTTCCGTTCTTTTGACGAACCAGCCTATGATTCTTGGCCTTGATTCGGCATAGGCCTTTCGGGAAGCATATCAGATTGTCTTCTCGAATCTTCGATTCTTTCTCTTCTCTTTGTACCGTAAAACTCGAGCCTCTCGGTCGAGTCCGCCTACTCGGGAAGCTTGGTTGTTAATTCCGACAACGTTTGGATCAGTCATGGTTGGAACTGTTCCTACTTCAAGTGACAAAGATGAAACCTGAAAGTTTTATAAAATTTCGTCAAATTATAATTTAGTCCCTCTGTTATTATTACTTTTGAGATTTAATCATCTACTATAATTTGATAATCTAATAAATTATGTTGAAATATCTTTTTAATCATCAATTTTTTTAAGTTATAAAATAATCATTAAACAACATAAATAATATTTAAAAATTTCAAATTATTATAAAATGATCATTAAACTTATTAAATTATTTTAAAATGATTCTAAAAACCTACCTAATTGTTATAAAAACAATATTCAAATTTATCAAGAATTATCACTAATTTATAATATTTTAATAAATTTAATAACTATTTTGTAACTATATAAACTTTCATATCTAAAAGACCCTTCCGACATTGTTTAATGATAATTTGTATAATTTAATCTAATAAATTTAGGTTCAATCGAATGAAATTGCATAAATTTGTTTTAAATGTTCAGGTGTCATTTATGTTATTTTCCTTATTATTTTAGCTTAAATCGAATAGGATCAATTGCATATAAGACCCTATAGTTTATGCGCAATTTGTATTTAAGTCATTGGTTTAATTCCAATTTTGTAAGTTTAATTTTACATTTATGTGAATTTAATCATCATTCTAAAGTTAGTATATTTAGCTTAAATTAGTCCTCACATTTAGATTTCTCTTAATTTAGTCCCTGTTTAGGATTGTTTTCTTTAATTAGTTGTGTATATTTATTTTGCATGTTGATATGTTTATGTATAAGTATGTGATTGATTTATTTAGGAGTCGCATAACATCATTTTGCATAATTTGTATGTTACCTTCGTGTGCATAACTTAACCTCTATCACATAATTAGATTTAGGTTTTAGGGTTTAGGGTTTATTGCAAAGACATTAATTAATCGACTTGATACTGATTTATGAGATAAGTATAATTTAGGGTTTAGGGTTTAGGGTTTATAATTTAATATTTATAGGTTAGGGTTTAGGATTTAGGGTTCATTACAAGTACATTAATTAAAATTTGAGGGTAGGTATTATAGAATTTTTAATATATTTTTAAAATTTTATAATTATCAATAGTGTATTATTAATATATTTTTAATAATGTAATTTTAAAAAATCTAAAATTACAATATAACATTTTTTCGAGCTGCTCACGAGCTTTTCGAGTCGAGTATCGAGTAGCTCGTTTAGGCTCGTTAACCATTCGATTTGAGTATTTATCAAGCCTTGATTGAGTCGATCTCGAGTAGCTCGCAATCTGTCTCGTTTCATTTATAGCCCTACCTTGGATGATCGCTTGGGTGGGAGAAATTATTAGATGAATCTGGCTCACCACGTCATACGTGGTTCTAACCAATAAGATACATCCATCTCAAGGTAGCTTTCAAATAACTATCCACTCTTTTTTTACCTGTAGGAAAAAGGTGAAAATTCACCTTAGAAAAAAATGTGGTGGATGAACCTTATTGATTTGGACCACAGATGAAGTAGTGACCCGAATCCATCTAATAATTTTTTCTTAGGTGGAGACTGAAGAGGTTTTAACTCTGAGAACCGCGGGTTTAATTTTTTTAAATTAAATTATGGTTTTGATCCCTCTTTATTATTTAATACCTATATTTTAATTTAAAACATTTTGATTTTTTATTTTTTAGTTTCATTAGTTAATCTAATGTTATAATCTATTATAACTCATTGTATTATATCAACAAAAGTTATCTTAGTTCTTCTACAGTAAAATGAGACATTTTAGTTATTGTATGTTTAAGAAAAATAATATGTTGATCCAAAACTTTAAAGTTAGCATTAGTTGGATATAATATTTTGGTTTAAATATAATTTAGGTCCCTATTATAGCATTAGTTGGACATAATGACAATTTTTTTCGTTAACTTTAATTTGTGTATCAATTTTGTCACTAAACGTTAAAATGTTTCAATTTTATGCACTAAAATTATATTTCTGTGTCAAT